ATGTCGTCTCAGAGTAAGTTATAAAAAGACTGTGGCTTCTGTCTGGGGCGGCCTCTCACTCACTCACTCTTACGTGCTACCTTACGGAGAGAACCGATGGATCCAGCCAGGAGTCCGTGAGTGGCAGTGGACCCTCCCCCAGGTGAGCCTCAGGACAACAACTGTAGCCTCAGCTGACACCCACATCGAGCTTAAGAGACACCTGGAGCCAGGCACATGGCCACACCACACCCTGACTGTCTATCCCACACAAACTGTGAGATGTTTGCTGTTTAAGCTGCCAAGCTTTGGGGTAATTTGTTACACAGCAACGGATAACTAATATAGTACCTTTAATCATTCAGTAGGTATTTCTTGAGAGACTACTAAAAATAAGACTCTACGTTGGAACACAGAGTTACAAAGACAGTGATATGGTCCTACATGGGAGACATTTACCAAAACCACAAAAACAAAAAACTGAGGCAAAGTCCCTCAATGTATCGCTATAGCTTAAGGATTAATATTTACAAAGTGAGAAAATCAACTTCATAGTTAACTAAGGCACGAGAAGTCATCTGACTGGGCTAAGTTCATGCACGCACAGCATGCGATTTGTGTATTTCCAAGTCAAGAAGGCTCATCTGCCTTGGGGTAAGAGGACACGTTGGTATTCAAGGCAGGCAGCACAGTAAAAGTCTGAGTAATATTGAGTCATTTGAAAGCCCAAATAACAGGTTATAACCATTGTATATTCTTTGCACATTCCCCCAAAAAACCAATCAATTTGGAGAGGATCGATTGTGATTAAATTCTGAAAATCAAATCTAAATAATAAATACAAACATTTGTGACTGATCGAACTAAAACTTTGTTTTCAAAGTTACATCTTTCCTGAGGGTGATCCATTAGGTTTAAAATGGAAAGAATGACAATATAATATCCCAGGAGAAAAATATACTTCTCTGTCATGTCAGTAATAGCTCACTCTGAATTCAAGAACACCAGGCTTTAAGACATCGGTTAGCGGTGCAATCTTAAGCCTAAAATTTTATCATTAACAGTTCCATGCATATTTTGAGCCACTTTGATGGTATTCAGAACTCTATATTTTGCCCTGCATAAAGAGTGCAGCTGCCAGTATCCAACAAGACAGAAACTTTCATCTATATGGTTGGATATTTCCATTTTCAATAAAAAAAACTTATGCTGCACATTGAAAAACTATAATACATAGGTCAAAAAGCAAAAAATAAATAAGGGTTGTATTTAATGTACTAACCAAAATTTAAAAACTATATCCATATACAATGGGTTGTCGTAGAAATCAAAATAATGATACTCCTTCACCTTACATAGCACTTTGCAGTTTACCCAGTATCCTTACATACAGGATCTCACCGGAGCCTCCAAACAGGACACTTTCTGGCCATTTTAACCTCGTGCCAACTGTGAAGATGTCAACACAATTGACTGAGATCCTCCACTGACCCAATCAACCTAGTTACCATCCACATTATTCACAGGAAAATCTCCACTCTGTTTACTCGCCTATACTCTGAGTGGTAGGCAATTTTCTACTGCATTTTCCTGATGGCCTAATTATAAAGTTGTAAGTTAGACTCCAAATGGAAAAAGAATGATTTGGCAACAACGATACGCCTTCTCTTTTTACATTCAAATAGTCAGATAATGAAACTGTGTTTGGTACAAGCACAAAGACAGTTACTGGAAATCAGAAGTATTTTGCATGTTCCAGAAAAGCTGTGGGTTAGTTAGCACCCCTAGTAGGTCATATAAACTTCAGGAACATTCATAGTTTTTCACCTCGTTGCAGCCTGTCATATCTGTTTGGGGGTATCTGTGATAAGTCATCTAAGATAAGGAGACACTATGCTGGCCTTGCTAGCAGGCACCAGAGAACACATGGGGTTTTCTGCCTAAATTATTTTAAGCAAAACTTCCAATACCGCAGAGAGCAGCATGGCAAACAGTGTGATGAGGTTACTTTTTGCTTTCAATTTGAACAAGCTTAGCATGACCCAGATGCAAACAGTGTGAGATGCTGGTGGCGAAAGTGGATAAAGAACCAGTTTAAATTCAAAGATGGTTTCCTAGGACACGCGAAGGGACAAAAGGAGGTGTGCCCACGTCCCCTCACAGCAGGCCAGGTTCTGGGTCTTAGGCAACCCAGGACACTTTAAGCTTTCAAAGGAGAAAAGGTCACTCCAAGGTGATGTGCCCATGATCCCTACAAGACAGCAGGTGCCCACGGTTGCTCCAGCAAAGGAAAGAATCTTCCTGACAGTGACGTTCACTGGCTTCCAAGTGCTCACTGTGCCAAGGGGCGAGCACGGTGAATACGACATGGAGCTCTGCGATGACACCAATGCCCAGGCTCAAAGTCTGGCTCCTCTGCTTACCAGGGGTGACCTTGGGCAAGTCTTTCATTAACTTGCTCCACCAAATAGCTACTGAAGATTCATCACATGCCAGGCACTGGACACTAGAGATACAGGGATGTATTAGGGAAAAAACACAAAAGTGAAGGCCAATATGAAGCTTACATTCTAGTGAGGGGACTCAGAAAATAAAGAAGTGACTATTCACTCACAATACCCTGTAATAAAAAAATTTAAAAAAATTAAAAAAAAAAAAGAAGTGACTATTTAATACGTCAGGCTGTGCAAAGTGCTAAAAGGAAGTTCGAGCGTGAGAAAATGGTGGCAAATGCAAATTAAACAAGCTGTAAGGAAAGTCCTCACTAGGAAGGTGCTATCTCAGCAGAGACCAGAATAAAGCTAGAGAGGGCCAGCCATGCACAGCCCTGGGGAGAGCATTCCAGGGAAAAGCAAGTGCAAAGGCCCTGGGGTGGGAATCTGCTTAGGTGCTAAAGGATAATGAAATGAGGGGCAGAGTGACAGGGAGTGAGATCAGAGAAGGAACAGTGAGGGTTTGCAGGCTACGGTATTTTATTCTGAGCAAAACAGGAAGCCACTGGAGGAGTCAGAACAAAAGGTGGGATGGTCAAACTTATTTTTTTAAAGGCCATTTCACTGGGTGTATGACACGGGGAGGCTGGGCGGGAGCTGTAAGGCCTGTAGCGGTCAGGGAGGTGTACAGCTTGGATCTCCCTCCAAAAAATAACTTGCCGTTCCATTGCAAAGACTGGTTTACCTGAGAGCTCCCAGCACCTTGCAGATGTGCTGCTCTTCCTGGCAGCCCTGACCAACGGCTGAGCAGAGAAAGGAATTTCTGCCCAATGCCAGCCCTCTCTAATGGGCAGCCTCTGCACGGGGCTCCCCACTCAGCTGGGTGGGCGAGCCTCTGCCAGTTCTGCATGCAGGCCTGCCAACCCCGCCCTCACCCCCCAGCTCAGCACACAGGCCTGCCAACCCTGCCCTCCCCATTGACCTGCCACAGGGCTCATGCCCCTCACACCTCTCATTCATAACTGTCTCAGCCTCTTCTTCCAGGGGATCCCACCTACACCTCTGGTTAGGATGCTACTGGGACAGTCCAGGCAGGAGGTGATGACACTGTCCTGGACCACGTTGACAGTAATGGGTGTGACAAGGAGTGGAGGAGGCTGGGAGGAAAAGTCAATCAGACTTGCTGATTGATTTGATGTGATGTTTGGGTGATGACAGGAGTCAAGGTCACACCAAGATTTTTGGCCTCAGCAACCTGGGAGGATGGAGCTGCCATTCTGCCGAGCTGGGGAAGACTGCGGCAGGGGTGAGCGTGGCGGGAAAGAGGTGAACAACGACCGAGAGTTGGGCTGGCAGCCAAGGCAGGCTCGACACAACCATTGGCTCCTGGAGAAGAAATACCACAAATGCAGTAAGATTTATGAGTCTGGCGTGTAGGAGAGAGATTTGAGTTAGAAACATAAAATTCGGATCCAACA